TGTTCTCGTGGTACGTTTTTTTTTTTTTTTTTTTTTTTTATTTTTCAAAGGTGACGGGGTCGAGGACCGGTTTTTACCAGTTTCATCGTTCCAGATTCGAATATACTTTGAAGTATGAAAAAGTAGAAGGGGAGGGTCCGCCATTCGCGTGTCAGCCTCGTTCGTTTATAGAGTTTATCGCTCTCCTTTTTATTTCGGTCGAAACGTAAAAATTATTAGCGCACACTGGAAACGTACTATTTTATTATGACGTTCATTTCGGTCGCTAGTGAATCGTGTGAAAGTTAAGATTCGTGCAAGGAATAAAGAAAAATTTATCCGAATTCGAACGTCGCGTTTAACTCGAAATTTTCGTATGTGCATCATTGTTTGAAATTTTGTGGGAAATTTTTCTAATGATTATTATTACAATTTATTTCTCGATCGAGGATAATACAAATGCTTGTATCGTTGAAAATAATGCTAGAATTATTAAATAGGGATAATTTTGCAACTATTATTAAATTTGATAAATTTGATCAAACAAAACAATTTTCTTGACTCAATTGACAATCTTTAAATTTCATGTACGAGAACATCGCCGTTACAAATCATCATTGCTCTCGTTCGAGGAATATCACACGTGAAAATTGGACGTATTTGTATTTTCTCTTATAATTTCTCTTATAATATCACGACATAATATATTATAATGTATTACTCTCGTTTATCAGAGATCACATCTTACAATTTTTTCCTTTTATTTTCTGTCGTTATAATTGTTCGAGATTATTAATTACGTCCCTAAAGGGAATACCACATCGAATATGAAAATTTCGAATTGGACGCGAAACATGCAAGACGAATTTCAGCGGTTGCACAATGAAATTTTAGAATTCTTATTTTTCACGAGTGAATCACGTACGTTCGACAATAGACGCTCCTTTCTCACCGGGGCCCCGCCTCCCTCCTTTTGCAAACGAGCTTTGTTTTTCGCGCGTATTTGCCCAATGGAAGCGCACGGTTTTCGTCGTCGGCACGGTCCGCCAGTCGCAAACAAAAGTCGGAACACGGAAGTGCCGCGTACACGGGAATTCCACGTTTGCCGATGGAATTTAATATCCGCTGCCTTCGTTATGAAACACGATCGCGCTTTTTCTCTCCCCTTCTATCGGCCGCGCGTCAGCTTTCGTTTTTTGCAAACCCGATAAAGGCGCAACATCGAATCGATATCTCCAGTTGCCCGACGAATTTTGATATCGGCCTACCTTATGACGCATTAAAATATACCTATCCTTCTGTCGGATTTTTTCCTTCCAATCCAATTTAATTTTCACTTATTTCCATTTTTTCTGGAACTGGTGCATTTTAAACAAGAAAGTCGTGTTTGTATTAATTTTTCCTTGCCAAATGAAAGTAATTTCATTTAGTAAGTGATTGATAATATTTTTGAACCAATGTGTATAAATATTACGATACAAGTTCGAATAACCAAGAATAATAATCGGATTGTTTTTCTCTTAGACCAAGAATTGTGGTTGAAATAGGTGTGATCGAAATTTCGGTCCAATTTCTATCGCCGTTAATCAAAATAATTCAGCGAGAAAGGCGGAGAAATGGTGCCTCGTTTAGATAAATAAACGTCGCGAATTGGTGGATCCGCGGACACGAGAGTGCATCGAACAATCTCCCAGTGCAAATATAAACGAGCGAATGGGTTGCAAATAAGCTGGCTGAGGACGGGCCATAGGTGTAGGACCAGTTATCTATTGTTTATCAACGGGCGTATCGACTATTGTGCGTGGTGTTTAACACTCGTGTCCCTTCCACGTTTTCCCGTGTATAAATGTCACAACACGTGTATTTAATACGTTTGTACATAGCGAGATTCGTTTTCAATAAATACTCAACGCTTTGACTTTTATCTCCTAACCTCCTTCTTGACTAACTCCCCATTAAAAATAAAGCAGAGAAAGTTTTGTCTTTAAAGGGAATTCTATAAGGTAACGCGCTTTCCTCCTATTAATTCCGCCTCGCCTTTCTCTCCGTTTCTGAACGGTGTGTGCAACTCGAGCGAAAGATCACGCAACTGAAGGAATTCGCTCGCAGCGCCAAAGTTTTCGAGAAAAACCGTTGGAAAGGAGGATCGCGGTCGCAGCGAGTTGGAAGGTAAGTTGTTATTGAATTCCGCTTAGTTTCTTCGATACGAGCTTCCAGTCCACGTTTTTTTACGCGTTTTCGATGCAGGCTGCGTGCACAGCGCTTCTCCACGTCCCTGTTTTTCCAACCTATTTTGAGTTTCGACCTACTTAACTTACTTGCTTCCTTCTAAGGTGAAAGTAAGAAAAATCGAGGAAAATTTTTTTCTCTTTTTTAAATGTTACTGCCATTGATATTAAATAGCGAAAGAATTATTTTGATACTTTTGTAGAATATTGCCACGTAAATTGATCGTTGAGAAACGAATTGCGAAAAGTCATTGATTAAACACGAACATTAATTTCTAACGTAATATATCTACGTGTGAAGATTGTGAAATCTACGGTTGAATTCTTTCACTCGTGAAGATAAGGTTAACAGGTGAGAAAAGTTTGGAGAAACTTCTTTCAAAAGTGAATAATTCATCTTCACTTTATTTTTAATCGAGGAAGTAGAATTTCTTTTCACGTGTATTATTTGTGTAATTCGAATTCTGTTTTCTGACGCCAAACGACGATTGTGTTGTCGAGTCAATCGAAGAACCGAAGCGAAAATTCGACGATGGAATTGAGGAAGATCGATTTGATAACTGTATGAAACTCAAATCGTCTTACGATTGAAAATAAATTCATTTATTTTTATACATCCTATCCTAAAATTCAATGTGACAAAATTATAACAGAATCTTTCGACTCTATCCTATTTCGCTATTCTTAAAACTGTTGCTATTGGTTAATCGCAAATAGCACATAACCTGATAAATTTTTTATATCGTTTTAACAAAGGTAAGTACTTTATTTAAACAAAGATTAGTATAACACGAAATTAATTAAATTTCGTTTATAGAAATGACTATAGGTTCTACCTAACATCCGGTGCTCATTGTGTGACTATAGTTGCCCGTGAAAATTTCAAATTAGTTAGAAACTCTAACTGAACGTAGCGAAGCTTGATATCCTTAGCTTAACTAATATTGCCTTGTACAATTATTTTGTCCAATTTGCATATTACTCTGTTTATGACCAACTTTGGCCAATATCGAAGGTAACGAAAACAATCTTCGTTCTATATAACGTCTTCGTCGGCTAAGACGGTTTCCTTTAGAGTAATATCGCGATATTTCTCTACAAATAAAATTTTTTCCATTCCCGAAATATCGTCGTTAAAACCTGATTAAACCTTTATTAAAACTAGAAAAAAAATTGACATTCAGATTAGAGAATGATGAGAAAATTAAAGAGATGTCGAGATTCATTGATCAACCCTTAACTCTAGACAAGTGACAGACTGCAATGTAGATTCATATTAATATCTCCGCACCGTCTTAAATTGAAAACTTTGAGTATTTTTATCTTGGCAACCGATCAAAAAGCGACTTCGATCACGAAATTTCTTGTCACGAATTTTCTACGCGAAATCTATATAAACTTTCACGTTCGTACACGATATTTCCCACATCTGATTTCATAAAAATTCTAGTTACAAAAGAAAGAAGCAGCAAAACCCTTGCCCCATCTTCATTCCGTAACCAAAACTGATCTCGAAAGCCCGTGCGTCCCATCTGGTTCCGTTTCCTGAATCGATTCGATATAAATCATCGCTTTTTGCCGTGGTATTCGACAATGGCCGCGTTTTGCGAGCCGGTTTAATGGAAATGAAATCGCCAGGGACGATTTCGACAAGAGCCACCGCCCTTCCACGCATTTTTCACGAGGCTACTCCTTCGTTATCGTTCAACTAAAGCGCTATCGCGATGGATTTGCACGCCGCTTATCCGATAGAATGGCGACAGATAGAGAGGAGAGGATCGTTTCGGAGGAGGAAAGGGAAGGGCGATGAAAAAGGGCGGCGTGTATCGCGCGTCGTGTGTCCCTTGCAGAGGGAGATTGGTCACGAGCGAGACGTTAATCCAATGTGAAACACTCCCGTCTTCGCTCTCGAATTTTCCACGGAATTACCCGTAACGACCGGTCATCCTTTTTATTCGTAGAGAAAGCAACCGGCACGCATCTCTCGCGTTGAGAACCAGCAGCGCGCTTGTTTCTGAAATGTGTTTCCTCTGAAATTTCGTCGACGTTTGAGAAGCCGTTTTCCATTTTCCACTTGGATGGAGCGAAAACGCTTCCCACTCTTTTCTAGAAGAATCCCGTAATTATATCTTTTTTTTCCCCCTTTCTTTCTTTATCGCGAGTAATTTTGTAATTTTGAGATTATTTCAGATTTTTAATTAAGATTGCAAGACATCTCGCGTATCGAAGTTTTTAACTTTAGAATTTAGAGAATCTAATTAAAGGGACGCCCACGTTCGAGGAGAATTTTCGAATGAAAGGTCGGTTAATACGCGTTACTCAAATACGGATAATTTTATGCCCGCTTATTATTATATAAGAGGGCGGCGTGTCGACGAATTCGCGAATTCGTTAGGAGGAAAGTCAGGGGGTTAAACGTGACGAGGGTTGGATATGGGTGTAACACGTATAATCCTCCACGACACGTAACACGATATCCCGCCTAATCCTTCTATCGAAAGGAATTAGTCTTCAGAAATATACGTATATTCGTCTCGATGTGAAATATGTTCGGTGTCCGGTTTTTCTTCCTCGTCTTACATGTCAGAATCGAACGTAACTTGCATCCCTTTCCTCTCGAACGAACAATTTATTTCTCATTCGCTAAAATCTATAATATTTTTTTTTTTAGTCAATTTTATAAGTAATTTTCATAAACTCACGTGCGATAAGTTTTATGTATACGTATAAAACAGGGGGCAACGAACAGGAAATACGAGAAAATGGGAAAAATCGGGAACAACGGGGACGATCGGGGCGCGGAGATACAATTTTAATACGATTTGGAATGTTTCGAGCGTGTATTTCGAGGAGGTCGATAACTGGTAGACATTACAATATTGGATTACGAATAAATTTCCGTGTCCACGCGTTACGGGGGAGGAGGAAAAAGGATTTAATTCATTTAACGTGTTTCTATTCCAATACTGGGTCCCGCACATACGGGCCCCGGATAACGATTTGTATATAATTATCGGCAAATTCTATACAGTAATTAATTTTCGAATATTGAAATTTATAATTGATGCAATAGAATATTATGGATATACATTCCGTCGTCGGCTTTAAAAGATTAACCCAATTAATATTAATTATTGGTAACTGCCTAATACCGTTCTAATGTTTTCCCATTTTGCGGCACAACAGGCAATCGTGATCGTAAATTTAAGAATTCTAAGAGTGTTTACAGTTTTAATATAGTGTGCATTTTAATTGTAAGAAGAGATAGAAATGAAATTTTTTCTATTCGTATACTGGATTGGTTAAGATTGGTTTTATATTTTGTTTTTGACTATTGGCGAGATAAGCAATTTTATTTTATTGTTTCGAGAGTGTTCGTGAAAAATTCTATCGTTGTGTTAATTTTTAAAAATCAATGCAAGTTAAATAATTAAGCGGATCGAGCATAATATAACAGCAGTTAAAATAATTTGTTGTTCTCAGTCGTTTATGTTATATGAATTTAAAGAAGATAAAGAAATCGCAGTTTGGGAGAAACATTTCCTGTATCCTGTATTTCCTGTTTGTAAATATCGAAGTAAATTTGATCGAATTATATAAAATTATATAGGACGAATGATAAAATTATCAGTGCACGTAAATTCTTAACAAACATTTTGAAAAATATAATACAATTTTACGATATTTATGTAGAATAATTTAAAAACTGAACGTATACATCGCAACAAATTTATTTCTATTCGCACGAAATCGAAATTAATCACTCGAATGCTAATTAATAATAAATTACACCATATATTCATGTAAAATTTACATAATTTACAAACCTGTTTGTATAGATTTTATTTATAGTAAATTGTATCGATAGGGATATATTAATTAATAAAATTAATCGAATTAAAAATATACTCAGTGTTGTAGATGATATATATATCGCGCATGAGCGAGCCATATCAAATAAAGCAAACTGCATATCGTGCATGTTTGCCAATATTCGCGTAACATGATGTTTCAAGTGCATTTTTTATCGTTAACGATAACAGCATCGTAGAGGCCGAAGAGACGCGAAAATTTTATTGGATCGATTGATATATTCTCAACTTTTTAAAATAAATATCGTATTTAAATAGAATGTCAAAAAATACACGGATTCACGAACACATGGAAATTAAAATACGGCCGATTTCCATCTTTTTATTAACACCCAGACTTGCGTGGAATTATTAATTCATACCACGACACATAAAAAAAAAAAAAAAAAAAAAAAAATAATTTCTCCTGTCCAACGAGATCGATCAAGATAATACATAAGTTACGTCGATCCACGTTACGTAACGTGTGTTTCTTAGTGGAGTGGAAACGTTGGATAACGTTCGAATCTTGAATACGTTGAGTAAAATAGTGATAATAAATAGAATTATACGTGTATTCTCAATGATGATTCTAAATTTAATTAGAATCACGTTTCTTTCATAGACGTATGTCAATTCTACTGTCAATTCCAACTTCCAAAGAAAATGCAAACTATCATCATATTTAACGAAATGATCGATCGACCAACTCTGTGCTCTCATAGTTCCAAATTCACTTAGCATTTCGATACAAAAATAAAAATTGTCTTTTATCGACAAAACACATCGATTCCCGAATCCTTACTATAATCCATTCAAATATCAACGTACAATAACAATAAGAGCTACCAATTTGAAGAAAGAACGCCACCAGTGGTATTTCACCGGGTGATCAATATTAATCCAGAATGTAACCTCAAAGCTCACCCTGTCGAACTTCCATCCGTGACAGTGATCGAGCCTCGAACGAATCTCACAAAAATTCTGCCACACCCTGATTCGATATATTATTTATCGGCCAGACTGCTCTGCAGTCCAACGATTAAGCCGATGTCGCGGCACGGTCATCCTCGATGGATTTCCTCCGACAAAATCGATAATCGGCGCGTTCCGTTTTTGCATCTCAACCAACGAAATAATCAATCGTTTACCCCGATATTCGCGCGAAATTCCACTATGGAAACATGGGAAACATCAGCCGTTTCCGCTGTAACAAAATTTCGTTTTCATCCCGTTGAAAGAGGGATAATGGTTATATATATATATGGCTATAACGTGCAATCGACCATTGGTATGGTGTTAGTATCTGCTATTATCTAAGTATATCGAAACTACTTTTGTTTGCAGGAATTTTGATACGATCGATAGTTCGAAGCGTGTTGTAATTCCTCGATTTTGTCTGGTCTTGGAAATTGAACGATTTCGAATTTGTTGCCTCGTTTGATGAATAATGCTACTTGGAGATGGATTAGTTTTCTTGGTTAGAAATTTATTCGTGGAAAGGTGAATGTAGATTAAATAAGCTAGAAAAAAAAAGACTCGTTGCTTTGTGAAGAAGAAATGAATATGGATTCGTTACCCGTGGAAATTATCATTTTCTTTACAGTTTAGAAGAATTATAACGTTGGAGACTTAGCATCGAAGAAGAAAGATTAGACACGGCTCACGAAAGAGATATAAGCTGTTCCCGTGAAAGGTTTATCGAACCGTATCCGGACGAGTAAGGAAATACGTGTCTCGTGACGATAAAAATAGCGGAATAGAGCGGGGAGGAAAGTAGGAACGACGCCTCTTTGGCAAGAGTTTAGTATTCTAAAAGTCGTCTTAGAGTTGTTAGAGTTGTCTTAGCGTTGAGTCTTTGCAGTCTTACCCCCTTCGAAAGTTGCCCTCTTTACTTTCGTTCCCTCGAATCATTACGATTATTCTCGCCCCGTCACCCGTATATTCGAGCATAAATTCGTTCTGCCGGGGATCACAAACTGAATAAACGTAATAAAATACCATTCTATAAGTAACGAAACGGGATTAGCTGAACAGGATTGTGAAAGGAATCGATATCAAATGATGGAAACTAACGAGAAAGTGAAGTAAAATAACGATTGTACTTTCAAGCTTCTACAGAATCATATAAATTACACTATTCGCTATATAACATCAATGATCATAGGATTCTAAATTTTCAATACGAATTTTTAATTGAAAAATTTAAACAACGCTTCGTTTATTTAGAAGTGTCGAAACATTTGAACAAATCCCTTTCCACCATATGTTTCATTTAACGCTTAATTTCAATATCTGGTAGGTTAAAGTATTGCCAATAGAGAGAACCCTCGAATTTGAACCGTTTATAAATTACGGAAGGCCGTGATGGGGGGGGGGACGTAAATTTGCGTATATGCGACGCGTATATTTCGACGGGGATCCCTAACTACATTAATCCTTTTAATATGAAAGTAACAACGCTCGGTTCTGCCGCTCGCACCTGCTACCTTCGTACCGACCGAGAGAAAGATGGCAAACAAAAGCAAAGGGAAAAAATTATATATTGCCCCTAGCTTACATATATATATATATACACACGTACATGTCCTTCGTTTTAAAACATTCACAGAGGAAATGTGGATTAATTAAAATTAACTGAACAAACAAAAAAATTTTTAATTTGCCTTAAAATTCCAAGCTCGAAATATATAATTAATAACAACGATCTATGTTTGAAATAGTTTGAAATGGTTTGAAAATCTTTCCAAAGAGAAGATTTTATTTTACATCGAGTTACAAAAGTTACATTGGGGAAAGATTAATACAGAAAAAGAAGAGAGAGAGAGAGAGAAGAAAGGAAAGAATCATAAAAATTGTAGGCCCCATAACACGGTGAAAAAAGAGTGAGTTATCGATCGGGCTGACGAGCGGGCTCACGGTCTAAATAA